GAAGAAAACATTAAATCAGCTCAAGCAGGAACACGATTTTACAGGATATTTGTGTTGAATCTCTTGGAATAAGTCTTACATTAGTTTTACGAATTACAGGTTTGAATTAGAATTTCTCCTAAAGTTTATTTTATTAATGATTAGTACCAGAGTCATTACATTAGACAGAACTATATAACTAATCCACAAGCCTCATCCATCCGTTCTAAGTCCTCTCTTCTCACACCTCCTTCGTTCCTGAAAAGCCTATAGAAACCAAAAGGATTTGTAAAACTTATGGTCCCTACCGACCACTGAGGCATGCGAGACACGTAACACCCAATTCCACAACAATGATAATATTTCGTCTCGGCATTCAAACCGTTCAAGGCTAAGCTCAATGGGAAAAAGAAAAGTCCACGAAAACCTAGTTTCCGACAGGCCGTTAAATACTAACAACGTTCTTTTTTTGCACAACATCAGGTTTAAACTGTGTGAAATAACGGAAAAATTCTGTATCAATGGAAAATATATGGTGGTTTTGTCAAGAAAACCCATAACAAATAAGCGAGAAAGGCGAAATTAGCATACGTCTATGTTAAACTTTTTTTAACTTTATATTGTTATTACAGCAGGAGTTTAAGACTTTTTCCATGTCCACATATTCCAACAATTGTACTAATAATTGTTGTAACTTAGACATTTTGTTAAGAAATGAACAACGAAATTAATTAATTAAAATAAAAGACAATACATCCAAATAATTTCAAATGTTTTATTATTCATTACCTAAAGGCTGCTCATTTTAGATCTTTTGCAGTTTTGTATTTTTGTGGGGAAAAACACAAAACAGGACATTGCTCATTTAGTAGGTCGATCAATATTATCCCCATACATAATATATTCGCTCAAATAAAATGTATTTTCCAATTCTTTTTCGTGGTCACTGGCGGCCTAATCAGCCATTCATCCACTGCGACCTGAAAGATCTATTGTGGAATTCACCCTTCCGTATTTCTAAACCTTGGAAAGTACACTGCCTCTATGGTAGTTAACCACTTTCCGGGGCTCCGTTTTGCATGTTTCTTTAGGGGTTATATTGTCTTTCCGAAGAAGCTGTTCGTTTTTCGGGTTAATGCTGAGCACACACATGGAAGATGTTCCGATGTTTTTTGTTGATGAGATAGCTATTTAACGGATCAACTTCTGTATTCAAATTATGTACAATTTTCCCTAACATCATTTTTAATAAGATAATCCCTTTGGTCAACACAGATTTGGAAAATGTCAGGTAGGCTTAGGTAGAATAGTCCACAATAGACGAGCTCTTCTCCTTTGGGTTGAGTCCTGAGAAAGTTGTTGAATTTCGGGTGCTTACACATCACCTCACTATAGGTTTTAAAAGTGCGTATATGGGGGGCGTCGGTGGCCGTAACGTTTAGACGCTCATCACTGTAAGGTAAAGGGGCCCGGGTTCGAATCCAGCGGCCCTGCATTCGAACCCGACATACTTACAAATTGAAAAAAAAAAAAAAAAGCACCGTTAACAGAAGACTAAATTCATGGATGTACGAGGTAGTATTGGGCCATTGAGGGATGGAATGCACGTGGACTGTAGAATTTTTTTGAAAATCCACGTTAAGTAAAAGTTATAACTATCGAATCCATAATTAATTTATCTAATATCATCTTACAAGAGATCAGAAGAAGTATCGTATGTACTGCAAATATAACTGCGCCAATTTTTATCCCCATTAAGTATTTATTTATTCAAGGTTTACTATGCTTGAAGCATGTAACCATAGAACATTGGTGGTTTGAGACCTCAAAATTTTGGAAAATAAAAATTTTGGTCTTCAACGACTGCACCTACTCCATGTTACGTCTTGGTTCCATTCCATTCCATTTCCTGTTGTTATTTTTATTTGGATAGGCGGTCAACATTATTTTATCTTCAGTTTTCTAGACTTTTTTGAAGTCATCTTATTAAATTTTATCTCCTTTTAGGATTTTGTAATTGCTCACCTTTAGCACAAGTTTTATTGCATTTATTTCAAAAAGTTTGTTTACACTTTCCTATGACATTCAATTGACGTTCAAAGATGACAATCCCTGTGCCAGTTCCAGTACTGATACGGCAAGTAATAATGGCAGTTGATTTTATCCCAATTGAAATAAAATTATAATTTCACAATACAATATAAGCACCGTACTACATGAAAATATTCCGTCTGCTGTTATTTAAGAAATACCTCGCCAAAACAATAGTAAAAGAAAAAAGAAATTTGGTTTATAAAGCATATATCATGAAAGTAAAGTCAATAGATGAATTAAGATTGTACGACCGTTTAAGATTTAAGTTGGTAACACACTCATAATACTTGGATTGACTTGCGGGTTTCATGTCTTTTTTTTTCAACCTAAAAGAGGATGTTATAAGCTCGTTTATTGTGAGCATTGATTGCCCATAAAAATACTAATGAGAATAATTACATTTAAGTTCAGCGCATTCATTAAAACCTACATATCACGTTTGAAAGTTTTCACGATGAATTTGTGAGAAAAACAATTTTCAGATTTTTACCAACCAAAAGGAAAAAGTTTAATCGTTTGTTTCCAGGGAGTCTGTTGTTCCACCCGAGATGAATAAATTTCCCCTTCATGTATTACAATACAATTGACAAGACAATGCTAGGGAGTGAAAGCACCCCTTGGGCCATAATTTTCGCCTAACCGGCTAAGACTTTGGTTTTGTAAAACGTTGATTTGTTCGAAGGAGGAGCGGTTGTGAAAGTGATATTGGAACAACTTTTATATTTTAAAACATAGTCCTATACGAAGATGTTTTTAACTATTAAATAACATATCTATTTAATGACACATTCTATTTAATCGACAGTTAGATTATTCCAATTCTCTTGGCCAAATAAACATGAACTATTTAATAACTCTAATGTGCTATATTTTAGTAAAACCATATGAAATAATAAGCTTTTCAATGGTGGTTGGTTTCCAGGTTTTCAATGATTGTCATAATTCTTTTCAATTAATTAAAGCTTTGGTTGAGATTAAAAAGTCTGTGTCACGAACGGGATTCGAACCCACGACCTTCGGCTTGATACGCCGCTGCTCTACCACTTGAGCTATCGTGACCTCGATCCACTCGGATACCAACTTCCCATCTCAACCAGACCTTTTAAATGTTACCTCCTTTTTGCCATTTTTATCTCAAACCTTAATTAATTGAAAAGAATTAATTTGGTCAATCGGACCACGAAACCTAATAGATTGTCATAATCTTGAATTTGTGTGCATTCCACTGGTTATGAACGTTTATAGTTGGCCCAACAAAATTGTCTATTTTTTAATACTTTTTTTTAAATTAGTTTAAATAGAGTTTAAACTACTCCGAAGAGTTTAAAAACTATTATGATAAATAAAAAATCAAAGATATATACAACATTGAAATACATACAAAAGCAAGGAAAAAATATATGTAAATACTGTGTAAATTTCAATATATATATTTTCTCATTGCTGCTAAGTTCCATTGACCTTAGACTTAGATACGTGTCTTATAATTTACGACGTAGTATTTCTAAAAATGTTTTACGGATTTCAGTGATAGTTTAATTAAATTTTAATTTAAATAGATCAGTTTAATACTTAAACCAGCGTATAACTAAAGTAAATAAATCATATTGGATATTACCATGGTGCATTTATTTTTTTAAAGAATCTCATATTTTATATCGATTTATATGTTGAATATTTGTTTCTTTTTGGATTGTTTCAATTATATGATTTACAGCTTTTGTCATTTGGAACATAATCAATTTCTGGGGGCACGTATCACACTTATTTAATTAGTTATCTGTTTATTATTAATTATTATGTACAATTTCTATACAAAGACAGTTGAAAAGATAAATTTGAAATTTATCAAACTTACCTCTTCAGGCCTATTTTTAATTTAGCATTCCTGTTGCAATTTTTTGTTTTAACAATTTCGATATAAGTTCTGTTCGCAAATTTTTTAAACCTTATTTTTCTTTATTATCATTATTTCCGAAATTACGAAAATAAATCAGTTTCAAGTACATTTATGTAAACATTGCTATAGCATGTATTCTGCAATGAATAAGATTCTCCAAATTCTTTCAATAAAATTGTAAGTAGTTCAGGTAGAATGCACTAAATTTTTCAAATTAGACTATTCATTAGACAAACATTTAGATTTTTTTAAGTATAATTAATAGTTTTAAATTATGTAATTTATTAAATCAGATGAAATGAAATAATAATTTGACATCAATGTTATTGGCATTTTGTCATAGAAGTGCCCATACTTCCCTTGTTATTTATTTTATTTATTTTTATTTTATTTTACATTTGTTTATTTTATTTTATACACTCACTGTTACTTGTTCCCCGATTGAAAGTTGTTGCAATGTACTATAAAGAAAATAACTCTATAGGAAAAAAAAGACATTTTGACAGAATTTTAAATTTTAACAAATTTGAATTTAAAAAAATATATTTGTTGTTTTTTAAGCGGCCTGTGTGTAGTTTATGTCTCTTGTAATGATCGTTTCTATTTTTTGGTAAGGCCAAACTTTTTAACCTTAAAAGGAAGGAGTTTTGCTTCTATAGGCTTTGTGGCTGTTTAGGTTGAATTAACATTTTTTGGACTGTAGTTAGATCCAGTTAATACGATTTTACGTTACTCAAGTTTTTCTTGGCTATAACCGGCAATTCTACTGTTACATTTGGCATTCCAAGGCAAACGATGGAGTTGCAGCAGTGTTGGAAAGTCGGGCTTTTGTCGGAAGAAGGGTTACCAAATGGTTTCGGCGCCATATGAGCCTATGGCCAAACGTTGGAATTGCGGCTGAATAATTCACCGCGGAGAAAATCGGAAGCGACGACACCGGTTGATAATTGTCAGGCGTAATGCCAGTGATCTCAACGGCAGCGGTCTTGAATTCCAGATCGACTTTCGCTCCTGGGCCACCTCCAGGAAGAACGGCAATCCGGTTGCTGAACTTCGTGTTTCAAGTTCGAAGGAGAGAAAACCTGGGGGGACAAGTAGCAGGGCTGACCCGCTCTTCTCAGTCACTGCCCACATCACGTCCCGTTACCATGCTCCACACTAAGGTGAGTACGCCTTTTTTTCTAACAAGATTTGAATACAAGGCGATATTTTGTAATAAAATAGTAAACAGATTACAACCTACAGTCTCCCATTTAGTTATTTGCACATATAATTATTTTGTGTTTATAAATCCATAATCACTGTAGGTGTTGAAATAGTTGTGAATTCCATCAAGAAATTTAATTATTTTATGTAGTTTTAATTTTTTTAAACTTTTAACAGATATTTAGATCTTATTTTGAATATAAAACTAACGAGAAAAATGTAATACCTATCCTATTTATTTTGTGACACTACATTTTTTTTAATACCATTATGTTACTAATAAATCTATTTATTACACGGATTGGGAAAACTTAGTGGTAGCAGTATATATTCAATTTATTTGATTATTTACATTTTTTTGTAATATAACTATTTGTGAGCTCACAATGCCTGTTCTAAGCACAAGTTAAACTTACTGAGAGCAGGTTAATTTTAAATTATTTTGTTCGATATTTTCATTTAATTTTTTCTCTTAAACTAATGGTTTTTATATAAAGCAAATAAATTCATTTTGGTATTTTGTATTTTTTAAATTAACTGGTCAAATGAGACCATGTATTAATTTTACAATGGCAAATTTAGTAATAAAACTAAGATAGTGCTTATTAGCATGTGATTTCTATGTCGATGTGGGAGATATTCAGATCTTTGTGTATGTCGCCATTGGAAACATACCATGGAGCATCTTCAATATTTCGTAGAACTTGGTTTTCGAACAGTTTTAATATGATTTTATTACTTCTTTTGGCACTTTCCGAAAGTTTTATACCATATATGCATATTGGTTTTAATATGTGATTATTATTTTATTTTGTATTGATAGCCGAAAATTTCTTCCCAGCACCAATAAAGTTGACGGTATTTGAAATCAAGTTATCCGTTTGTGTTTGGTATGTGTTTTTCAATTTAATTTTTTATCTATTGTCATGCCTAAATATTTTACTGAATTCTGGGCAGGAATTACTTTACTAGTGAAGACGATCGGTTTGTCCACCAATTTTCTCTAACTGAAATTTTGAACGAATTTCTGGTCGTTTATTCTGACCGTCCTAGTATCTATCCATTGATAGTTGCTTTGAATGCCATTCAAGCATGGATTCATTTTTTAGCAAAAAGGCCGATTCTCTTGGGCAAATGTTGTAATGTTTTTGTTTTTCATTACTGTTAAGTCACTTGTATAAAGCAAGAACAGCGCGGAGCCTAGGATACTACCTTGTTATTCACAGAACGTTAAAACGTAATTTTTTGTTTATTTTAACCTGTTTCGGAGGTATATTCAACAATGGTTTGTTTATAATATGGTCTTGACATTTAAATATTTCAAATATGTAAACTTATGTACAAGTGTTTGTTTTTCGTTTTGTATAACCTATATATCCTTCATTGTTGTGAAATGTGGTTGGGTCCAAAATTTGATTAAATGGGAAATCACTATTAACAGAGCTTCCTGAAGTAGTTTTGTTATTTTTCTAAATTGACTGGATTTGCCCATTGTAGGGTTTAATTCACATCTCAGTTTGGATAGAACAATTCATATCAGTCCATAGCCTTAAGACCTTACATAACTTACAATTACATATAAAAAGAATAAAGATGATTCCAAAAGAAGAAGTTGATGAGCCATCAGTTTATTCTTAGATCTTGCTAAGAATATTTTTCAAGAAGACATAAAACTATAATAACTTGTTCAAAAGGTTTACAAATGATAGGATTTTAGGATTCAACAAATCTAACAATTTTTACAAAACGATTGTAATCATTGTACCTAGCTCTCTCTTTCACTCATTCACTCTCTCTCTCTCTCTCTCTCTCTCTCTCTCTCTGACCACCCCCCTTCTCTCCATCCCCTCTCTCTCTCTCTCTCTCTCTCTCTCTCTCTCTATTTTCTGTTAGTTATTTACGGTTATAAATATAATAACAAATTAAAAATAAATAAATAAATGTAATAACATGTAATGTACATATAATATATATGTAATAGTATTGTGAATTGTCTGTAAGTAACTAAAGAAAATATAAAAAAAGAACACAATTTTTTTAACAAACAAACGACCTATTCGACATGGTTGTACGTCTATTATAGATCGATCAAAAAATAATGGTAAAAAATAATGTAATGATGACTATAAATTACCTTGACATGTGTAAATATACGAGTTAGTAACATTAACAATGACAACGTGCTTAAGACGTGGAAAAAGTGGCCGATGAATACTTCATTTCGTAAGTTACGATCCGATAAAATGACGAGAGATGGTGAAAAACGTTCCCTTGCTAGTTTGTGCCTCTTTCACTTTCTAACAACCTAAACAGCTCGTATATTGCTAAACGTGCTTACAAGTCTATGTTTGATGTTAAATGAATTATATTTCTTACATTGTATTGGTGTATTGTTGGTAAAATTTGTTTAATTTCACCTAGTCACTCTGCCCAAAAAACACCAAACATTTAGGATCTAGTTGGGAAGGTTGGAAGATAACAAGGGAGATTATCCTGTGTGTAACTATACGTGCTTTCGAGGTGATTATTTAAACTGGAAAAATAACAATAAAAACCGATTCCACGAAATGTAGGTCGTCGTTTTCAAATAGGTGTATGAACACTTCATTGTGACAGTAGTTTCTTTCTAATTCTTTTCCGGTAGCACAATGAGTCTTTATTTGTAAAAGCCTGACATAACCAGCTTTTATTCGTCCGACTTGAATGTTTGCCCACTCAGAATGAAGACTATAGAACGTAAAGTGGTCATACGAGGAGGTTGGATAAGAGAAAGGTAAAGAAATGTAGTCTGACGATAAATGCGACCTTGCATTAACACGCTTAACAAGGGAACAATTTCCGAGTTGAATTAACCTGTACAATTCTGTTTAAGAAAAAATTGCATACACAGAATTTCGAAAGATTTCTATTTTATTTCGGCCAACGAAGAATCATCTATAAGGTGGTACTTTTAAAATCAAACCAACATATTTGATGTTTCATTTAAAGTTCTTGCCTGATTAATGTAATAACTGAGTTGAACTGTTAATTATAATTCATTTATTTTAAGTAGAACTAGACATCTGAAAGAAATTCTGTCATAAAATTACATACGATTAGTAAAATAGATTGGTCAGTTTACCAGTTAAATGAAAAATAAGTTAAATAATTTTGCTTGTTCGTTCTTAACAAATTACAATTTAACTAATTGATCTTTTTATGTAAGGTTTTTGGTCGAAATGAAAAAGCTAGTGGTTTCGAACCCACGACCTTCCGCAAAATACGCCGCTGCTCTACCACTTTAGCTATCGGGACTTCGATCCACTCGGACACCAACTCCCTATCTCAACCTACAACCTTTCGAATTTTCCCTCCTTTTTGCCATTTTTTCAAATGTCGTGTAATCAGGATTGATCTCGGCGACATATGAAGTGGCCACGGGGAGTTGTGGTACTAGCTTTTTCATTTCGACCAGAAACCTTACATAAAAAGATTAATTAATTGAAAGAAGTAATTTGGTCAATAGACCACTAAATATAATGGATTTAAAATTTAACAAAATTAAAATTGCCTTCACGACGGTCACTATTTTATTTATAGAGTGGAAAAAGGGACATTAGAGTATTTGATTTTTAGTGCCACATACCCTCGTTTTAATTTAAAATATTCATAAATACTTTACATTTTTTAATTGTACTGACGAGTATCTTTAAAAAATAACAATCAATTATGATAAATTGACTTTGAGATGTGTGAGCCTGTATGCAAAGAAACATACTATTGGACAAGCGTCAAATAATAAATTTTTCTATCTTATTTATTATCTCTGATTGCTTAATTCCGTTATGTTTTGTATAACCTATATATCCTTCATTGTTGTGAAATGTGGTTAGGTCCAAAATTTGATTAAATGGGAAATCACTATTAACAGAGCTTCCTGAAGTAGTTTTGTTATTTTTCTAAATTGACTGGATTTGCCCATTGTAGGGTTTAATTCACTTCTCAGTGAGACCATTGATCTCACACCTCCCTTTTACGAATTGAAACGGGATTATAAAAAAAATTAAAGCGATACATCAAAACCTTTGTCCCCTGTTCCGATGCTTGGAGAAAACAGCGGTTTTATTGTATATAGCACATTGGTTTTGTGATTCTTTATGTGTGTACTGAGTGTGAATGTGTGTCCTTTAATATAGGGACTGAAAGGAGAAATATCTAGCACTCCACCTGACCTATCTAGTTCTTTTATTGAATTTGTAGAATGAATGTATTTAAGTATGAGTGAAAGTGTGTCCAAATTTAAAAACTACATACTCGGGACTGATATGACCAAGCTGTGTATTATATGTTTGCGGTAATTACATTGTATCTTATTTTAAAACTAACTATAGATAAACATAGAGTGATGAGAATACGCAATCCAATTACAAAATTTCCCATTTAAAAATGTATTATATTACATCGTCAGGAGATTTGGACAAAAGTGGTGGTATTTAAGCATTATGCAAACACGTTTCAATTTTACTCCCTGGGATTAATTTTTTTTATATCCAAATAAATCGAATAAACCGAAACTGAAAAAAAAATTTATTTTGATATTTTATAAGATAATCCTCCAAGGTTAGTCACAGAAATATAAATGTAATATTATTTATTTTTTCGCAATTTATTTTTAATAATTACTAATTTACAGACGTTCCGTTAGTAATAATAGGTCGTATGATGTACTGAGATAAAAAACGTTTACAAACCAACCTACGTGACAAAAAAGAAATATATAGGGGGGGGGATATTGCGGGTCAAACCACAAAGAATATGTAAGCCTGATTAGGGATAAATGACGGTACATCAAACTTCACCATCGCCCATGACTCCTATCTTGGATGTCAAAAAATGAACATACTCAAAAAAATTGTAAAAATACAAATATAACTTCAATACAAAGACATTAATAAATCCACAAAATAACAACGGCTCA